AGAATGGATGATGACACTGCAACAAAAATCCTCACAATTGGACAAATAGGTGACATCATGATAAATGGAAGGAAAACATGAAGTTGTCAAGGACTTCATTTTATTTGGATCCACAATCAACATTCATGAAAGCCACAATCAAAAAATCAACTGATGTATTGCATTGGGAAAATTTGCTACAAAAGACCTTTTAAAAATGTTGAGAAGCAAAGGTGTCACATTAAGGACAAAGGTGTCTGACCCAAGCCATGCTGCTTTCTATGTGCAAATGCTGGCCAAGAGAGGAAGACCACAGAAGACGCGATGCCTTTATGATGGTGTTGGCAAAGAATATTCAATATACACTGGAGTACAAGAAGACCGATCAAATCTGTCTCAGAAGAAGTACAGCCAGAATGGTCCTTAGAAGCAAAGATGGTGAGATTTCAACTCATGGGTTTCGCACATGTTATCAGGGGGAGTCCATCCCTAGAGAAGGATACTCGCTTGGTAAAGTATTGGGTCAGCAAAAATAGAGCGCTCCATGAGCTGGGGTAGCACGGTTGTTACAACAAAGGACTCAAACATAATGACAATTGTGGGGAGGGCGCAGGGCTGACAGTGCTTCATTCTGTTGTAGAAAGAGTCCCTGAGAGCAGGAACCAACTCAACAGCAACTACCAACAACCAGCACCCCTATGGATACAATCCTATGTGGGAATGGGGCTTCTGTTGCGTTGATGAAGCTGTATCCATATAAGGTGTGTCTTTTTTTAAACAGTTTTATTAACATTTTATCCACATTTCATATAACTCAATAATTCAATCATATCAAGAAGAGTTGTACAATTTTTTTGAGTTGTACAATTGTCATCATGTTCATGTCTAGAACATTTTCTTCTTCCTTGTACTCATTGTTATTAATGTAATTATTATTATTTTTCTAATTGTGGTAAAAATCTACACAACAGAGCATTCTCCAATTCCACAACTTCTACTTATATAATTCAGTGACATTGATTATACTCTTTGTTACTATAGGGGCTGTACAATCGGCATACACATCACAGGAA